CGCTGCAGACCGCAGCTTAACCAGCTGTGCCACAGTGCAGGCCCTCAAGAAAAATATATTTTTTTAAATCCTAGACTTTTGTTTCTTTTATTCTTAAGGAGTATAGATACCTGTAAAAGAGCATGAAGAACCTCAATATTTTAAGAAATATTTTGAAAAAGATATATTTATTTATTTATTTGAAAGGCAGAGTTTCAGAGGGAGAGGAACTCCATCCAGGTAACCCACATGGGTAACCCACATGGGTGCCCAAGTCCTTGGGCCCTCTTCCACTGCTTTCCCAGGTGCATGATCAGGGAGCTGGATCAGAAGTGGAGCAGCCACGACTTGACCCAGTGCTTATACGGGGTGCTGGTATCCCAGGCAGAGGATTAACCCTCTGCATCACAACGCCGGCCCTTCAAGTCTTCTTAATAACATGAGCACTGTGAGTTCATGGCCCTCCTTCTCAACTAGAATGTTGTGACTACTGCTGAGCCCATTTCCCTCACAACCCTCAGAAGAAATCATTATCCTGTTTTCCTTCTAGATTAACCAGGAACTTACCCTTAAATAATACATTATTTAATTTTATTTCTTGACAACCAGAGAGACCAAGAGAGAGAGACAGACAGACAGACTCCAATCCACTGGTTCACCTCCCCCGCCCCTCAAAGGCTCACAGTAGCTGAACCTGGGCCAGGCTGAAGCCAGGAGCTGGGAGCTTGATCTGGGCCTCCCAGCTGGGTGTCAGGATCCATGTACTTGAGCCATCATCTGCTGCCTCCCAAGGTGTGCGTCAGCATGAAGCTGGGGTCAGAGCAGAGCCAGGACTCAAACCAGGCTCTCTGATACGGTGTGCAGGAGTCCCAAGCAGTGCCTTAACCCCGGTGCCAAATGCCTGCCCTCTGGCTCATTTTTTATCACTGCAGTCATGTGTTCGATTTTGTGAACATACTGCAATGTATGTATCTATCCATTGTCTTATTGATTCAGGTGTTTTTCTAGCATGATCAGTACTGCCATGAACATCCTCGTGTGAGTCTTCAGTATCTGTTGTAATTTTTGCAAGATGTTCATTTGAGAGGCAGAGGGAGAGAGAGAGCTCCTCACTACTGGGTCACTTCCCAAACACTTGCAATGGCCATGGCTGGGCAGGGGCAGAAGCCTGCAGCATCCAGAAACTCAATCCAGGTCTCCCATGTGGGTGGCAAGAACCCAGTTCCTAGAGCCATCTCCCGTTTCCTCCTGGGGTCTGTATTAGCAGGAAGCTGGAGTCAGGAGCCGGAACAAGGATGGAGCCCGGCTACCCCAACATGAGATGCAGGTGTCCTAACTAAATCTCACCCCTGGATTATTAGTCTTTTCTTCCATGCATAGGTTGCTCTGTTTAAGAATCACCAATCATTATATTTCATCATGTTTTTCTCTTCCATGTCCGTTACGTTCTCTTCAATAGTCACTGTAATTATATTCAACTTTTCCTCTACATCATAATTCAAATTTTAACACTCTATCATTTTATTCTTATTTCCAATTTATATTTTAATTCTATAATAATGCTACCCTCTGTTTGCTTCCTTAAATCTGAAATCTCTTTCCACCTCCTCTCTGTTTTACCATCCCATCCTGGAGCTCCTGCATAGTCTCACGTTCCGTTAAGGTGCACAGCGTAAAGCGTGGCAGGGCCGCCTCCTGTCACTTCCCTTGTGATTTCCTCTCACTCAGGCTCCTGGCCGCTGCCTGCCACATTCCCTTCTGCCACCCTGCAGGGTGAGTCGCCCTGTTTTTCTTGTCATTTCCTCATGCTTGGAGAACCTTATCCATTCCCGTCAGCAGTTATGACAGAGCGTGGGCGACTTCTCTACTTGCTTCCTCTTGATTTGCTTTTCTCTCAGTTTCACTGGGAGAGCTGAGGGAGCCAGGTGGGGAGGTGCAGGGAAAGCTCAGAGGACAAGTGTCCATGGTGAGATAGCCTGGACTCTGCTCCAGGCTGGATAACAAAGAGAGGAGAGAGATGAGAGAGGTGAGAGAGAGAGAGATGCCTTCCATCCTCTGGTTCACTCCCCAAAATGACACAACAGCCAGAGTTGGCCCAGACCAAAGCCAGGAGCTTAGACCTGCACCCAGGTCTCTCACGTGGGTGGCAAGGGCCCAAGCATTGGGGCCATCTTCCACTTCCTTCCCATGCACGTTAGCTGGATTGGAAGCAGAGCAGCTGGGACTTGCCCAGCACCGTTACATGGGATGCTGGCATTGCAAGCAGCAGCTTAACCCACTGTGTCACACCACCAGTCAGGATTTATACCTTCCAGTCCACCCTGTCCCCAACAATCCCAAATTCAGTGGGCTGCCCTGAGGCTGTCACTTTGGGCAGAATCAGCCCAGTTGTTCACTTTCCTCCTTTGTTCCATTCATCCCAGCTTAGCTTTGTCTACTACTTTTCAGCCAGAGGAGGAAACAGCTCAGCAAACCTTCATGCGTGACTCTCTCCTCTTTGGGAGTCTTGGTGAGAATCCTCAGGACCTTGTGGACTGCTGCTTCCAGGAAGTGGGTGCCAGGTTAAGAACCATGCGTGGCTGGTGCTGTGGCATAGAAGGTTAAGCCTCCACTGGCATTACAGTGCAGGAATCCCATATGGGCACCGGTTCAAGTCCTGGCTGCTCTAATTCTGATCCAGCTTCCTGCTAATGCACCTGGGAAATCAGCAGAAGATGGCCCAAATACTTGGGCCCCTGTACCCATTTGGGAGACTCAGAAGAAACTCCTGGCTCCTGGCTTCAGCTTGGCTCAGCCCTGGCCATTGGGGCCATTTGGGCTATTTGGGGAGTGAACCAGCAGATGGAAGATTTTCTCCCCTCCTGCCTCTCTCTCTCTCTCTCTATCTCTCTCTCTCCTTCTCTCTGTCTCTCTGTCTTTCAACTAAATAAATAAATCTTTAGGAAAAAAAAGAACCATGCCATGCTGGCCTTCTGCATTCTGGTCCATAATCTCATTTATTTTCTTGATTAGCAATTTCGTAAATGTATCGCCTCTTTCCTTATTTGTTTGGTGTTGGTGAATGTCCTCTGTTTACTTTTACTTCTTTATCTTAGGGTGCTCTTTTGAAGTATTAGCAGAACAAAATGGGGTAAGAAATTGTCAACTACCATTTTAGTCCAAAAGTCCTTTATTTATCTTACGTTGTCTGGCTATCCCACCAGAATTTGATTTCCATAAGGGCAGGGACTTCATTTGGTTGTTCGTGTCCCACATCCTAAAACAATGTTTGGCACAGTGTATGTGCTCAATGAGTACTCAGTGCGTGGATGGATGGATGTGTAGGAGGATGGATTGGTGGATGGGTGGATGGATGGGTATATGATTGAATGGGTGAGTGCATGGGTAGAAGGTAGATGGATGAATGGGAGGGTTGGTGGGCAGATGAGTAGATGGATGAATGGAGTACATGGTGGGTGGATGTGTGGGTGGATGGATGGATAGGTAGATAGGTGGGTGGATGGATGGGTAGAAAAACAAAGAAATTAATGAGGCAGCTTTCCACATAGGTGGGAATGGTATGGGCTGAGCAGTGGAGGCAAAATGGAGAGGAAGAGTGGGTTTGACACAGGAATTTGGGGTAGATCTGACAGAGGTTGGTAACTCAGCTATGGTGAGGAATAGTGGGTAAGAAGGAAAATCAACCCCATATAATAACTGAAGACTATTGAGCGTTCAGCTTGATGAACAGGTGTGGTCATTAGGTCCTTAACTAAGAGTGCAAACACCAGAGGTGGAAAGGTACTGAGTTTAATTCTGACGTGCTGGGTTTGGCCCCGTTGGGTCATGTGAGATATGGGCTGATGTTGAGAGACAGCGGAGCTGGAAGGATCCGGGGAGTTATCAGCAAAGACGAAGTGTGAGTCAGTGGAGTTAGAAGAGAAGAGAAGGTGCAGAGGAGGCAGCTGCTTAACAGCATTTAAAGTGGAAGCGGGATCAGAGGGAAAGAAATCTGATTCTACTAAGCTCTAGGTTCCAGAACGTGCTTCTAGAAATTGGAGGGGGAAAAAAGACATGTAGACACACGTGCCACATTTGTGCCCAACTGGACTTGCTCGTGCCCCAGCGTCTGCTGCCCCATTCTCCCTGCCGTCACGTGTTTCCAAGGGGCAAGAAGAAACTGCAGGTTTGTGTAACCTCACAACAGGTGAGACCCACTGCCTCTTAGCAACAGGAAAGGTGCTCTTTGCGTTCACTGACTTGCACGGTGTAAGTCATTTGAGGTTTTAAGAATTCAGCGGGGCCTGGGCATTTTAATACCCGACCCATGGGGCAGAGGGGCATGGGAGCAGACAAGCTCAAGGCAGGAGGTACTGAGTGTCAGACCAAAGGCCCAGAGAAGACGCTGGGAAGGCTGATCTCCCCTGATGACTCAGGGCCTGGAAACGAGCTGTGACTTTGAGACGGAGTCAGCTGTCTTATTGATTGGGACAGGGGCCCAGGGCTCACGGTCCCACCCTAACTCCTCCCCACCTGTTTCACATCCTTAGACCTCTTTAGGGTTAGAGTGATGAATTCATTCTGAATCTCCAAGTTCAATGTCCCCAGTACCCCTGCGCACTGTCCCGGGGATTGGGAATTGGGAATTCGGGTTGAAGCAAAGTAGCCTTGGACTCCAAGGGCTTTGGTTCCTGAACTGTCGTATGCACACCCAAGCCAGAAAGGACTGTGCCTGTCGGGTGGGCACAAGTTTGTCTTCTGAAGTTTCATTCCTCTTCAGCCACTTAGCTGAGACTTCGGCGGAAGGGTGACCATCAATTGTCACAAAAATAAAAGTTTAATCACGAAAAACATGAAGCACTAACTGTGGCCAAATTAATCCAGATTTTTACTGTAGATAATTTTGTTGTTAAGTCTTACAAAGTGCTGGGCATGAGGTTAAATGCGTTATCTCTGAGTTCTATTCTCCTATCAGGTTGTTCAAATTGAAATCATATTAATAATTAACCTCATCCCTTCCTTTCAATGCATTTTGACCGTGGACTCTGCTGGGAAGGCAGTTTCTGCCTCCAGAGTCTAATGCATTCCAGGCTGAAGACTGCACCCCCACCCCCACCCCGTCACAGGGTCGGGGAGGGGGGTGAAACCAGCCTTAGTGGATCCGAGCAGCGAAATAGAATGGAGTGAAAAGAAGCTATCAGAGTGCACCACACTTACTAAGGGTAAGTTCCATGAAGCCTTTATTTGAATGTATTGTTGTGTTTATACACCATGTTTATCTCACACCTGTCTCTGTAGACCCCTGATGGTAGGCCTAAGGATACACGGAATAATGATGTAAAATGGGTCTCTTACCGTCAGCCAATTTAAAAAGGTTGAAAGCTATGAAAGACCTCAAAAAGTTCATGGAAAACGGAGTGAAAAGTATATTTTGGTGCAAAAACCTTTTGATATCCCTGTGTAGTTATTTCACAATATATTGTCTTCAAAGGTTCTTGTGCGAAGAATTTCAAAATCTGTTTGCCCTGAGATCAACATGTCTTTTATTTTCGTTTTCCATGCAGTTTTTGAAGTGAATTTTTGAAGTAACCTCATATTTGTCTATGGGAGTGGCAGAGGGGGAATTTTCTTTAAAAATTTCCCGTTGTCGTTACACAGGCTTCTAGTCATAAGGAGTTTACACGCAACTCTATGTTTGCACGCATTTCAGTAGCTTTGGAAGAGAGGAGTTTGTCAGCACTGGAAGGCGCTTGAGAATTCTTTTCCTTTAAAGGTGGGATAATGACTTGGTGAAGCTTGTGTTCCAGTCGTAAAACTACTTGGAGATTCAAACCGAAATCTCAGAGAAGTGAATGGCCTTGCCCAGAGTTACAGAGGCGTGAAGGTTAACAGCTGGGCCAAGACCAGAGACCAAATCTCTGCCCTTCTACACCGCCCAACACTCGGATACTGCTCTCTGCGACCATCTTAACCTGTGTCCATCATTCAGCCCATGGTAACAACTCAGATACTTCTCATGCAAACAGGCCACTGGCCGGATGGGTGGGAAGATGGGATGGTTTGGGTCTTTTGAACTGTAGCACTCTTGGTTGACTTTCAGCAGCTGGGGGAACATTTGGCTCTGAATGTATGAGAGGCTATAGCTTTATTAAAGAAAGCAATACCATTCATCAAACTAATGATCAATAACAATTCTTTAAGCAATACTGTAAGTACTTCATGGAATCAAGTTATTCTTTAAAGTCATCTTTAATTTCTCACTGCAGGTGTTTGGAAACATGAATGGTTCATATTTAATGTTTACAGTACAAAGGAGGCATTAAGAACAACTTTTCTTTTTTGGCGATGAGAGACTCCAGTCATAAATCCATACATAGTTTATTCATAATATGCATTTTTCATGAATTTTTGAAGACCCCTCTTATGCATGGATTTCAATATTTTTTGCACCAAAAAAACTTCTCTCTTAATGCCATTTTCCACAAGCTTTCTGACACATGCTCGTGAATAGCTGGGTTCGTGCACCTGTGTGCGGGAGCGGTTAGGAGAGAGGGATCCTTCACCACCTGGTGACCCCTTCGCATGCATCCAGCTCCACCTCTCAGCAGCACCTCTACCTTCCCCCTGGGTCCCGCCTCTGCTCATCTTCAAAACCCGCAGAGGCCCCCTAAACACTCTGGCTGCCTGCACCCTGCCCTTCCCCCATCCACTCTCCCCTCCCTCACCCCTCCCCGGCAGCCAATGGGCCTTCCAGCAGCTCCCATGCACTCCCCAGGCAAAACCCACAGTGTCTCCCTGATCTTATTCTCTGCAACTCTCTCCTCCCTTGCTCTGTCCCTGCCACAACTGTGACTTGTTCCTTGGCTCAGCAATTCGCTCTTGCTTTCTGTGGGGAAGGCCCCACCCCGGTGGCTAGTGGACTGCCTCCCTCCTTTGCTCCCTGCGCATCCCTGCTCAGACACATGCCAGCATCCCTGACCATCGTGGGGAAACAGTACCTCAGCCTTCCCCACACCCCTCACCTGCTGTGTGGTTTGGTTCCCGTGTGCTCAGCACACTGGTTTGCTACCCTGTGTCACCCACTGAAGTGCGGTCTCTGAGGTCAGGGGTTGGGGCTGGTTTGCTCTCTGCTCTGTCCTCAGCATCTAGAAGATGGCCTGGGATGGAGCTGCTCACTCACCTTTCTCAAATGAATTTGTTTTCTTCCATTTTTCTATTTAATCACTTTTAAAATAAAGATTGATCTTTATTTATTTGAGAAGCAGAGTGACAAACAGAGAAGGAAATCTCAATCCACTGGTTCACTCCCTAAATGGCCACAATCACTGGGGCTTGGTCCAGGCCAAATCCGGAAGCTGGGAGCCAGGAACTCCATCTGTGTTGTCGCTCCCCGTCTTCGTGGAGGAACGACACAGGACCCTGCGTTGTTCTTGCGTCTGCTCGGCCCTCCCCGGGTTTGCTGCTGGTTCTTCCTGGGTTGGCTACCGACCCTTCCACCTCCGTGGAAGGGCGGTTCCCCCTGGCCACTTTCCCCACTTCCGCAGGGGAGCGGCACACCGCCGGCCGGCTCTCTCGGGGGCTGCACAGGTGTTCCTTCAGATAGATGTTCCCCTTAGATGTTCCTGGTGCATGTTGTCTCTCTCCTTCTTTATAGTCCTCTTCCACCAATCCCAACTCTGCTACCCACACGCCGAGTACGCTGCTCTCCTCCAATCAGGAGCAGGATCAGCTCCTGCAGGTCATCACTCAAGCTGGCGACAGGCAGCTGCGTAGAAGTTTTTACTCCCTTCTCAGCGCCATATTGTGGGAGAGCAGATGCATAGAATAAGTCTTAATTCCAGTAACTTAGTCTAGTCCGAGTTGCTCCCAGTTGCTCCCCACATGTGTCCCCACGTGGGTAGCAGAGGCCCAAGTTCTTAAGCCATCTTCCTCTGCAGGGAGCTATCTCAGAAGTGGAGCATCTGGGGCCTGAACCAGCACTCCACTATGGGATGCTGGCATTGCAGGTGGCAGCTTAACCTGCTGTGCCACAAAGCCAGCCGCCAAGGGAATCTTAGTAGAATCTGGAATGGCCTTGGCAAGTTCTCCTCTACCTCTCGGCGCAGCATGTTGGGTTAGGAGCTCCTAGCCACGCTGAGTGGGTTTCCTGGTCCCCTGTGCTGGGTGTGCTGCCTGGCCACATGGATCCTGGCAGAGGAAGGCTGGAGCCAGAGAGGACCTGGGAGGGAACAGACCCATGTTAGTGCCCAGGCCAGCCGGCGGCAGAGGAAGCCCTGAGCCGGGGCCCTGGAGAGGGGCCAGCAGGCATTGAAAAGGGGATTACTGAATGCATGGGATCATGGAGGTCTCTCTTCGGGGACCTGGGTGTTGGGGGTGTCTGTGAGAATCCTGGTCTCCACCCTCTAAGGTGAAGTCCAGGGACCAGGCTCTGGCACAGCTTGCTTTGTGTGTGACTTTGAACAAAGCCTTCAGCTCTGGCTGCCTCTGCACTCCTGGCCCGAGTTGCTGGCTCAGTTCCCCTGGGACAGGGCCCATGTGGAATTCTTTGTATGCATTTAATCCCTCAAGAGCCCACAGGCTCAGCGGTGGTATCCCTGGGTTCCTTACCTGTGTCCATCATGGACTTTTTACCAAAGGACCCAAGGGTAATAAGAATAAAATGATGAAATGGAAATATTCAGGTATTTCACATTCTTTTTAAGACTTATTTATTTGAAAGAGTCACAGAGAGACAGAGATTTTCCACCCACTGATTTACCCCCCAGATGGCTGCAGCAGCAAGGGCTGGGCCATGCCAAAGCAGGCGCTCCATCTAGGTCTCCCACATGGGTGGCAGAGGCCCAAGTGCATGGACCATGTTCTGCTACTTTTCCCAGGCCATTAGCAAGAAGCTGGACTGGAAGTGGAGCAGCCAGGACTCGAACCAATGCCGATATGGGATGCTAGTTTCGCAGGCAGCAGCTTTCCCTGCTAACCACAATGCCTACCCCTCATATTCTTTTTGAAAATAAGAATTTATTCATTTATTTGAGAGAAACAGAGAGCTTCCATCTGCTGGTTCACTCTCCAAATGCTTGCAATAGCTGGGGCTGGGATGCGTTCAAAACTAGGAGCCTGGAACAAACTTTGAGCCCACCTGGTGGCAGGAACCCAATTACTTGAGCCCTCACTTCCACCTCCCAAGTCTGCATTGGCAGGAGACGGGAGTTAGGAGCCAGAGCCCAGGCACTCTGATGTGGGGTGTGGGTGTGGGTGTCTTGTGCACTAGGCTGAATGCCTGCCCTGTATCTGACACCTTACCCAGGACCACAGCAACAATCTGCTAACTGCGCCCCTCAAGAAAAAATTCTCTTCCTCTCCAGGTGGGTCCAGGTCTCCTCTTTGGCTCTCACAGCCCCCAGGGAATGCTGCTGCCTCATTCTCCCCCTCCTCATTCTGGGACAGTTTAAGATCTGTTTCTCTTCTAGACACAGCCCTGGAAGGCACTGAAGAGTTCCTGCCTGTAGGAGTTCCTGGCCTGGGTGGGGGGTGCCCTCCCCTTAGAGGAGGAGGGGCCCTGTGACTCGTTTCTGAGCAGTAGAGTTTAGCAGAGTGGTGGTCCTCACTTCTGTTGGCTTGTGTCCTGCTTTACTACCTCACGTTAGATTTCATTATGCTATAGCTGACTGCGATTCCCGTCGCGTTCTCAGCTTGCACAAAAGTGGCCACGTTGAGACCCACATGGCAAAGAGCTTAGGGTGCCTCTGACCAAAGCCAGCAAGTACAGAATCCTGCAAACAACGAGAACCCGAATGTGGATTCCTCCCTAGCAGAGCCTCTGAGGAAGCCCCAGCCCCTGCTGACCCCCTGACTGCAGCCTGAGGCAGAGGACCCAGCTAAGCCCCGCTGTATGTCTCAGATGATACATATGTGCGCATGCATATGTGTAGCTTTAAGACAGTGATGTCCGTGCAGTGGGTAAGTCACACCCTCCCCTGTCGGGTGCATGCTCCTAAAAGGCAAGGATGGTGTTTTACTTATCTTTGAGGTCCTAGAGCCCGGCACAGGACCCCTATGGACGTTTGGGGTCACACTGAACTGGCCTCTGCCTCTTTCTCCTCCAACAGAACTTTCTAAAACTTTCTAAAATGCTAATTGTCACTCTCTGCTTCAAACTCCCCAATGGCATCCTATCGTTTTCAATAAAAATTGGCTAATTTAGCTTAACCATTAAGGAACCTCACAATGTGTCCTCCAGCTTCTATTCCAGTCTCTTCTCCACACCATCCAACCCCTCTCTCCCCACACTCCAGTTCTGCTGACTCATCACTCCTGCAGCCTGCCCCCCTGGTGGGGGCAGGGCTCTTGCACGTGAACTCCTACTCATCCTTTCCAGTCCACTGTCACATCACCTCCTCGCTTAGCCCAGGGCCAGCCCTGCTACTGTGCTCCTTGGTACTCTGAGCTATTTTCCCATGTACCACACTGGGTTTAAGCCCCACTCCTCTTCTAGTGTGTGTGTGTGTGTTCTCACCCCAGCCTCTGGCCTGGGAAACCTAGCCATCGTTGAACGAGTCCCTGAATGGTATTGATACTAATGCCCAGAGCTGAAGCGAGGTGCTCACAAGTTAAATAAGGCTGAACCAGCTGTGTCAGTGGCTCACCTGCATTGTGGACTGAGGGTGCCGTGCAGACAACAGAGACAGAGTCTCGTGCTGCTGTTGCTGTCTCCTCATCATAAGCAAAGGGAGAGAAAAGCCCTGGTCCTGCTGGAGAGAGCTGTGTGTGTGTGTGTGTGTGCTAGGACATTACCCGGGGGACATCTGCTGAGACTCCACCCTTAAAGACCCGGTATTGAAATTCTCTTATTTATTTATTTATTTGAAAGGCAGAGTTAGAGAGAGGCAGATGCAGAGAGAGGTCTTCCATCCACTGGCTCACTCCCCAGATGGCCACAATGGCTGGAGCTGTGACGATCTGGAGGCAGGGGCCAGGAGTTTCTTCCTGGGCGCAGGGGGTTCAAGGACTTGGGTCATCCTCTGCTGCTTTCCCAGGTGCATTAGTAGAAAGCTGGATCAGAATTGGAGCAGCCAGGACTTGAACCGGCATGCATATGGGATGCCGGCAAGGCAGGCGGCAGCTTTACCCACTATGCAACGGTGCCGGCTCCCCTATGTGGAAATTGAACACTTCCTTCCCCTTGCTAAAATCTTACATGATGGAGCCAGATGGACTCAGGGGCCCTCTGTGGCTCTCCCGGGCTTCCTGGTTGGGACCCTTCAGACCCAAGGCCCCCTCTGTCAAAGAAGATGCTTTGTCAGTTGAGTGTAACTTCCTCATCCTGGGTGTTCTCCTCACCACTTATTTTTGTCCTACGTGCAGGGCCCATGAGTTCCACAGAAATCCAGCTGCCCAGGAAGGTTGCCGAGGCTGTGTCTCCTCCTTCGCCACTACAGATGTGAACCAAGGGCAGCCTTTTCAGTTACAAACAAGTGTGGGCTCATGGGAGGGGAATCCCAGGAGAAGGGCGGAGTGCAACACCTTACAGTCAGTATCTGAAATTGACAGCCAGCCTCTCCCTTTCAGTGAAAATGCAGTCTTGACACTGCATTTCAACAGGAGTGGTGAAGCTGGCTCAGCTCCCGTGTAGACACGAAAAGCCAGATCACATCTTTTCAATGCATTTCTGATCGGTTCATGGCGGTTTCCAGATGATGAAAACACCTGTGTTTACGAAACCCACTCTGACGATGGCTGTTCCACAGCTTTTGGGTCTCCCTGCCTGGGTCTGATTTGCAACAGTGCTGATTCAACCGCCATCTCTGTTGTTCAGATGGCTGAAAAGCCGTTTTGAAACGTGGAGGATCACTGTTGCCATGCTCAAACATAGCTGGGTGTATACAGAGAAGTCTCTTACGCTTTGCTGCAGAAATACTCTGGTCAGCTTGCTTTGCCCTCTCCAGCACCGCCACCAAATGCCCCTCAGGTTGTGGAGAGGCAGAAAAGCCTGTGGTTGTCCTTACCTGAACTCAAGGTGTTGAGTGTTCAGATCGGGTCCCTTCTCTACCCCAGGCCCTGCAGGTGACATAGGAGTCAATTCTTAGGAGGAGTCAGAGGTAGCAGATGGCAGCAGAGCTGGGTAATGGGGGGGTGGGGCGTGTTTAGTGACTGAGAAATGAGTGAATACATGAGGAATAAGCTATTATAACATGGGGTGTGCCCAGGAAGACATCTAATCAGGACTCGGATAGGAGGGGTGTAGGGGTTGGGGAGTGGTAGAAATATAAGAATGAACTTACTCTTTGGCAGGTTAAAGCCCCAGCCTTCAGCGCTGCCATTCCATATGGGCGCCTGTTTGAGTCCAAGCTGCTCCACTCTGATCCAGTGCTCTGCCATGGCCTGGGAAGGCAGTAGAGGATGGCCCAAGGGCTTGGGCCCCTGCCCAGAAGAAGCTCCTGGCTCCTGGCTTCTGGCTTTGGATTGGCTCAGCTCTGGCCTTTGCAGCCATTTGGGGAGTTAACCCTGTGGATGGAAGACCCTCCCACACCCCCACTCTGTCTCTTTCTTTCTCTGTAACTCTTTTTTAATTAAATAAAATAAATCTTTTT